TTCAAACAAGCTGAAAGAAAAATTACGTAATTGAAGATGACATAAAAGGACAAATTTTTCGTAAGAAACAAATTTTTTGAGAAAGTTTCTGAAATTTTAGATTCCTAATCAGTGGCTAGTATCAGAGCCACGTGTCTTGGACACATGCCAAAAAATATCACAGTGATTGGAACCTCGGTTCTTTAGTTATACTGTGCACCATGGCCAAAAGCACCATTCTGAGAAAATTGAGATTATACATTTGGTTGACAAAATGTTTGCTTGAGTCAGAGTCAATCCCGATCTAATTTTTCGGATTTTCTCCGCTCGATGCAACAAAGAACAGAGAATTTTTTAAAACAATTAAGAAGTCGATCTTATGAAACGGCAACACAGAAGATTAGACGTGTCTTATCGGCAGATTAAGTAATATAATTAACATAGAAGCACAGAACACGACGAGACATTACAGAAATCATACAGAACTCAAAGAGAATACATAAAAAATCACACAGAACTCGAAGAGTACAAATCAGAAGTCATAATGAACTCGAAGAAAACACATCAGAAATCATAGACAACTTGAAGAGAACATATTAATTGTCATAGAGGACTCAAAGGGAACACATCAGAAGTCATACAGAACTCTAAGAGAACACATCAGAGGTTATACAGAACTCAAAAATAATACAACAAAAGTCATACAGAACTCGCAGAAAACACATCAGAAATCATAGAGAACTCTACGAGAACACATCAGGATTAATACAGAATTCACAGAAAACACATCAAATATCACACAAACTTAAAGAGCACACTTCAAAGACTAAACAGAACTCAGTCAGAACGCATAACGAACTTATCAGAACACGACCAGAGCTCAACACCACTCACTATAACGCACACACATCGCATTCGAAATCTCAACAATTAGCGTACACTATATTACAAATATTCCATCCTGGTCTTCCCCAACCGAGACCATAAACGCCTATTTCCAACGCAGAAAGTAACAAGAATCACATAGTCCCTTCACATCCCTGCACAGATTTCGCTTTTTGTGGACGCGCAAAGAGTCCAGGGATTAGCCGTAAACCAATCGTCACCGAGAGTAATTTCGTTCGGAGGCCGGTAAATTGTTGGAAGTTTAAGCGGGTCTCATTTATCAGGCCTGTTTCGATCAGCGGGCGCCGTCCTCGTGGTAATTTGTCACCGGCACGTTCTTCCTTCCTTGATAAGAACCGCGCTCGCAGATTACGCGTCCTCTCGCGAAGATACGCGGCTGAAAGTTTGATTAAAGCCCCGAGAAGACAGAACACCCAGACAACGCTATCATATTGCTCTCGCAGCGCCTCTGCCGGCAAAACCGTTAATTTCAGCCCGGCTGAGTGTGCCGCCACGGCACAGGCTCGAAACCGGAGGCCCGCTAGGCTAAGGTTAGGTCTACTCGCAGGTTTCACTACCGCGAGTATAACCAAAGCTCTAGTAATCGTTCGGAAAATGATAGTGGAGAGTCCATTTGCATCTGTTTTAATCGACGTCCACCGTGTCGTTCGTATGGTAATCCAACGACATTTCCCCATTAAAATGTATGATCGCGTCGTGTGGAGAGGTTAAACGCCGGGCAAAGAAAAACGTGACAGAGAGACATGTCACACCCTCTTTCGTCAAAGAGGAACGTGCAGGATGTTGGGCGACCCTTAGTACGGAGGCTTCCTTCGTTTCAAGGAACTCTCGAGTTACCAGGAGCTAATTACACGCGGGTCTAGGTTCCTTGGTCCTTTGGTTGGCTCGCGATGGCCGAGAAGCATTCCTACACCGAGTCTCGTTTCATTAAACTTGCCTCAGCCACGCGGTCCACGGAGCAATCATTCGGCAATCAAACTTGCACCTCGACTCATCGAGCTACCCTGGGAGCTCCTTCTTTCCCTCATCAAGTTCCCCACTGGTCTCCGACGATACGAAATCCGTACATAGCCCAGACCCAAACGATCTCTCGAGTTTACCTTGCGTCTATACCTTAACCAGTTCTTCAACTTTCAACCTTCGCTCATTGGTGCCTCGGTCTTGCTCCAGATATCGGTCTCCTCGAGTATGCGGCTATCAATTAACGGTGTTCCATTATTCAGGAAAATGGAGGTCGATGTTCGTTTTGCAACGAGAACACGATGTGTTGTTCGGTTGATCCCGGTTGCAGCTTCGGACTAGGGGCACCCACAAAAAGATAGGACACTTTTGTAATATTGCAAGTTTTCCACTATATGTACACGTAGCTTTACGGTAGTCACCGAGAGTTCGAAGGCCAGTTCAGTCGGAAAAGCCTGGACGATGCGTCAGGCCCTTAACTTTAGCTTACGATGTCGTACGAGGCACACCTCATGACAATCGGACCAAACGTGAACAGCTCGTGTGAGAAACGTGACACGGCAATTGGGCCAAACATGAACATCACGTCTCTCAGACGTGATACACTAATCAGGCCAAGCTTAAACATCACGTCTGAGAGACGTAGCCTCTATTTGGTCATGTTGGGGGGGGCTTTGGAAAACGCGTGCATGATATACATGGTGGGAAGTAGAATATAAAAGAACAAGGACGTTCTGAGATGTTAGAGAGTTGTCGAAGTTAGTTGCCAGATTTGTTTTTGTTGCTAGTTGTGAGTTGTAATAGGAGAGTTGCTGCAGAAGTGTAGGTTGAGCGTTGTGACAAGTTGTAATAATTCGTATCTTTATCATTAGTCACGTACTCTATCACTGTTAATTTATTATTAACACTAGATTTACGAAACCCGTCAATTTGACGGATGGGTTGCTCCAATTATACGATGGTAACAGATTTAGTTAACATTGTTAATGTTGTAATTGTTTTTAAATTAAACTAATCGTTAAAAAAGGACACGTGGTTTCCTTTACTTGTCAATTTGACAGGTGTCAAATATGTAGAAATAGGTATACAGATAGCGTCCGTAAATCTAGTGTTAAATAAATAAATACCATCAACCAATCCCTCCACACTTTTAATCCCAGCATGCCCCAAAGAGTTAAATAAAGTCTTACAAATCTTGTCAACTAGTTTGCATTTGTAAAACGACGTGAATATTGTCTCATATCTTCCTCTCGAAGAAGAGTTCGAACGAAACAATATCGCGTCTGAATTCCAGTTGATCGGAAGTTAACCGCGACGCGGTTCTTTTAGGTTATGTCAGCGTTTTCGCGCGACTCAAGTTTGCGCGGGAACTTTGAATAATCGTCTGTCTTCGGCCTGTCACGTATTTCCGTCTGCACTTTTACTATAGCCAGGTCTGCAACAGGTCTGCGATGAAATTTCTGCAGCAGAGGGGAATTATTCGTACGTCGGTTAGCTCGAAAACGAAGTGGAAGAATTTCCCGGAGCCCGTTGCGACATCGAGTACGACCTGAAATCGGTAGCCGACGTTCCTCCCGCGTTTCGCACCCCCTTTGCGTCACTGCTGAGGAATTTAAGGCTCCGATAAGCAGAACACGGTACTTTTTGCTCACGCTGTATGCACCTCGCAGGCACAAACGCGCATTTAAACGGCGAACAATTTTCTGATTCTTTACGGCGCAGTGAAATTCACGGTTCCAGCTATCGAGCCCCATTTATCACGGTTACAGTGGCGCGGTGTAAACACCACGACGATCGATACACGCCGATTATTGCTCCCGCTTTCCTGAAAATATAAACGGTGGCCGACATTGTTTCACCGTGTGTTAATTGTTCCCGACACTTTCATGGAGCTCGCAGCCAAAGTGCCTTTGGTGAACGCTCGCAAACGCTCGCTTGGTCTTTTGGCAATCGAGAAAGGGGATCCTCCGGTTTGGTTACTATTATTGATTCAGTGATTTCGGATATTGCTAAACGAACTGAATTAGTAAATGTATCGGTGGATATTTTTGGTTATGCTTTGTCTATGTATTATGTGATCATTCGGACGCTGTTTTTTGAATTTTTTGAAATTTTGACAACAAAATGATCGAGTGACGATTGACTTTCTATGTTGGAAATGAACTTGTTTTTTAATTGTATTTACTTTTTGAATTTTTTAAAATTTAGCACCAAATTATTCGATTGATGATTAACTTTCCATATTGGGAATCAATTTTTTTTTTAATTGTATCTGCTTTTTGAATTTTTCCGCATTTTAATGATAAAATATTCGATTGATGATTATCTCTCTATATTGAGAATGAATTTTTTAAAATTGTATATACTTTTCGAATTTTTTTAGAATCTTGGCAACAAAATGTTCGAGTGACGATTGACTTTCTATTTTGGGAATGAATTTGGTTTTAATTATATATACTTTTTGAATTTTTCCAAATTTTATTACCAAAATATTCAACTCATGCTAAACCTTCTATCTTTAAAAAAATCAAATCCACTTTTTGAACTTTTCCATATTTTAACATCAAAACATTCGATTGACGGTTAGCTGTCCATATTGAAAATTAATTTATTTTTCAATTATACGTACTTTTTGAATTTCTCCAGATTTTAATGCCAAAACATTCGATTGGCGATTAGCTTTCCATATTTAGAATTAATTTATTTTTCAATTGTACCTGCTTTTTGAATTTTTCCAAACTTTAATGTCAAAACATTCAATTGATAATTACGTCTCCATATTTGGAATAATTTTTTTTCTTAATTATATACACCTCTTGAATTTTTCCAAATTTTACCACCACAACATTCGGCTAATACTAAGCTGCTCGACTTGCAGCTTTAAAAAAATTAAATCCACTTTTCGAACTTTCCCAAATTTCATTTAACCGTATGATCCAATTACACGATGTGTACACTAGCATCATACTCTCCAGTTACACGCTATCGTACGCGTACGTGTATGATATGCAATATAATTCGAACAATAATCACATATTTACATCTGATTTATTTATTCAAACATTAGAGGTCGCTGTAGCGTTAATTATTCAACATCCAATGACCCGATAATACACTTATGACCCCTACTAACGAGAAAAATATTTTTGTTGCAGTACACCGACTGGGAGGACGCGTACAATGGCTACATTTACCAGAAGATGGTCGCGGACGTTGTAGGCGACTACTTCTTCATCTGTCCCTCGATCCACTTCGCGCAACTGTTCGCGGACCGTGGCATGAAGGTCTACTACTACTTCTTCACCCAAGTAAGTAGCTTTTTATCGTCACGTGCGCCAAGAGTACAGGGACGCGTCACGTGAAACGCGTCCGATCGATAAGGAACCATTATGTTATAGCCTGACATTTCCACGGGACGAGAGTCACGTGGCGAATAATGATAACACGGCTCGTGATTCCCTCTTTTCTATGACCGTAACAACGATCAGGGAACCCACGGGCCGAAAATCCGATCGTCCATCGGCCAGCGAAATATCGGGAAATTATGTCACGGTTCCATCCATCAAAATTAACCATTCGTGCACGATGACCGGCAATCGCAACTACCGGGCGTTACAGAAAATTCGAGGGAACTCTGTTCCACTTTTCACCGGGTGGTCGTTTAGCATGGGGAAAAATGGGCCGAAACGTCGACGAATGATTGACTAATAACGGCCGCAGGAGAAATTACAGCTACGTTAGTGTCGTCCGGGAAATTTATTCATTTTTCCTCTTTTTCCATTCTTTCTGCTCTCATCTTCCTTCTCTCTCCCTTTTTTTCGACCATCGATCCAGAGGTTGAAGTTGGTCGTTCATTTTCCTTCCATGCGAATGCTCCGCTACAAAAAAGCATCGCCATTAGAGTGGATACTATCGAAGACGAGCTTTTAAGAGGCGCCCGTTGTACTCGAATAAAGGTCGGCGGGATATTAGGAAAGGCTAGCCTTTCAGAGTTTCCTTTATCGTCGCGTTTTATCCTACGCCGCAGTGGTATAAATCAATAATTGAGAGTCTCAAAGGGAGAAACCCGTGGACGATTCTAGAATCCTTCCGGGTTATTAGATTCCTCCTGTACGCCGCAGGAGGCTCGTAGCTAAGACACCGTAATTTCTTCGTTCCACGTGGTTAAGCCTTTCCGTGGGCTGCCACGCTACCTGGGCACGAGTTTATCACGAAATTTCTCGATATATATTCCCGCGGCGAAGTTATGAAAGCGTATACGGCCAACTCGCGAAGACTCTTGAACTTTCATCGCCTCTTTAGCCCGTGAGGACATTAGAGTTCCGGAATTTATGGAACGAGGAACGGGCACGTTGCGAGTCCTTGCGAGACATGTCAAAATAGCCGAGACCTAACTTCCAGCGAAAAAATAAATTAGAGGTCTTACTTCGGTTGAACTTGGCTCTCGGATGAAACACAACGTGGACTGAATTCGAATCAAGTCCTGGAAAAAAGGTACACTGGGAGGTTAGGTTAGGTGTATCTGAGACTGGATATGGAGCAGAGCTGTATAGGATCTGGAGGTTGAGTAAGCATAGGTGCAACTTGACTTTAGATGGAACTTATATTGGATAATATGCAAACCTAATCCAAATTTCTGAAAATTCTGATGTTACCAAGTAAGATTCGAAAAGATTTAGAATTATCTAAGATTAGGTATGGATCAGAGTTGTATATGATCTAGAGATTGAGTAACCATGGATACAGCTTGACTTTAGATGAAACTTATGTTGGATAACCTAATCCAAATTTGTGAAAATTCTAATGTTGCAAAGGAAAATTCGAGAAGACTTAGATTTATCCGAGATTAGGTATGGATCAGAGTTGTATATCATCTAGGGGTTGACAGACAATGAGTGTAGCTTAACTTCAGATGGAGCTTATCCTCGAAAACATCTAAATCTAATCCAAATATTTGAAAATTCTGACACTGCAAAGGAAGATTCGAGAAGACTTAGATTTATCCGAGATTAAGCATGGATCAGAGTTGTATACGATCTAGAGGTTAACTAGCAATGGGTGCAACTTGACATCAGATGAAGATTATCTGGACAATACTTGAACCTAATCCAAATTTACATTTAATTGAAGTATGACTTGCCTAAAATCTAAGCCAAATTCTGACGTTGCATTGAATTAAACTCGAATTTAATTTAACAATCGAAGATTCGATTTAAGTTGAGACGAAGTATAACCTTAATAAAATTCAGGCTTGATAGATCTAATTCATAGATCAGACTTGTATCTGAGATAGAAGATTAGATATTGATCGAAACTAAAACTAATGATAAGACTGAGAGAAAACTATATGAGATGTCTATCTCAATTTAGATCTATCTGAGACTAGATTTGGACTCAAACTGAATGTTATTTAATAGTTGAAAAAGGAATAAGTAACATGCTCAATTTAACTTCAAATAATTTTAACAAGAGTTAGGCTTAATTCAAACTCAACATTAGGGTCAGACTTACATTTAATTAAAACTTGGATCAAGTTCAGTTCAAGTCCTAAGATTGAAAAGATATGAGAGAACTAGGTGACCTAGAACTACCTAAGCTTAAATTTGAATAGAAATAGAATTTCATCAAACAGTTAAAACCATAATAAGTATCAAACCCAACTTAACCCCAGATGACAACCTGAACTAACACTAGACCAAACCCAGACCAAATTCAAGTTTATCTCTAAAATCAGATATACTTTACTAAATATATATGTATATATCATCTGGGATTAAGTTGGACTTGATACTTATTAATATATATTAAACAGTTAAAACCATAATAAGTAGCAAGCCCAACTTAATCCCAGATGACAACCTGAACTAGAAGATTAGACCTAACCTAGATCAAATTCAATTTTATCTCTAAAATCAGATGTACTTTACTATATATATATATCATCTGGGATTAAGTTGGACTTGATACTTATAATATATAATAATAAATAATAATATATAATAATATATATATATAATAAATATAATTTATTAATAATCATTTAACAATAACAAAGCACATTATATTTCATTAAGTGCCTTTATTCTTTTGAGCTACTGTACATACTAACTGAGATCCAATTTGTTCCAAATCCAGACTCAATTCAGACCTGATTTACACTGCAAAAAAATGATATACATCTTCACTTTTGTACATATTCCCCAAAACTGTGTTTACCGAAGGCACAAGCCCTATCGCGAGCAAACCTAATCCAACATGCGCGTGAAAAGTCGCTCAACCCTCCAGGGTGTTTCGCTATCATAGAGGAGCCTGATCTCCGGCGGTTTCTCGCGATGCCAGCGACTAACTGGGACGTGAAATGCGCGTAAGCGGAATGCCTAGGCCCAAGTAATTAGCGTAGGAGGTAATTTATCAGGGAACGCTGGTGGAAGCAAAGGAGGATGTCATTACTCATGCGCGCCCACCGTAATCTTAATAACGGTTTCGCCAGCCGGTTGAAACAGCATCCTTTAACTCGCGCTCGCTTTCTTCCTCTCTCCTTCCCTGCAACTTTCATCCCCTCTATTCAATCCCTAACACCATCTCTCGCTTCCAAGAATCACGCGGTTACGAAGTTAATCGGTGGCCCTATGGTCCTCGAAGGGCTCAGGCAGCATCTTGATTAGGGGAGCGAGGCTACAAAGAACATTCGTCTCCTTTGGCTCCTTCTCGGCTGCTCTTCACTCCGAATTTCCCTTTTCCGCGAAAGTTTGTCAGGGCAATAAAACGAGGAACTTGCTCTGCTCCTTTCCAGTTCATTCCCGAAACCGATGGACAGGATGGGGAAAAAAGAAACGAAAGGTGACCCCGAAAGGGGACGCGAGGAGAGAAGTCGCGAGTTTCCCTTCGGGCCGGGACGAAACAAGTTCAAAGCCGATAAGTGGGTCAGAAACGGGTTAACGTTGAGACGCCTAGAAAAAGAAACGAGCAGAAATGCACGTCGCTGCTGAACGCGTGTATCTATATCTGACAGAGCTCCGCTTCCAAGTCGAAACACATTTCGTCCATCAGCGTACGCTGATTTCTTCACTTTGGGCATGTCACGTGACGGAAATTTCAAACTTCCTTATCGACAGGGACCTAACCTATACCGCCTCGGCAGCTGTGCCGTAGAAAATGCCGGGGGCGTGGGTCGGACGAAAATCCGCTTGAACTCTTCCATCGATTCTAACCAATTAAGGGTATATCGGGATATCGAATTGTCTGATTATCGAGCCGACGACGCGGTTTCCGCGCTTTGGAAAAATAATCACGGCGGGAAATAAACCGGCCGACTGGTGGAGCGATGAATCGCGCGAGCGATTAGCCGAAGAAATTAATGGAAAGCTGGGGCTTTCCAAAGCCTCCTTTCACCACGTGCCCCTTTCGATTCTACTGGGGATCCTTTCACGCCGCGGTTTTTCCTCGCTAAACTTCATTATCGACTGAGCCGGATCGCGTACCACGATTTCTCGCGGGGCCATTCATTGGCTGCGTTGGAAACGCGGTTGAAAGGAGTGAATCCGGCTATCCAAAGGTTCAATGGCTATTGACAGTGTGCCGTGGAATCGTTTCGTGAAAAGGAACCCAGCGGAAAAGGCGCTTGCCTCGCGTGGACACCGAGGGGCACGGTTGGCCGCAGTGAAACTAGCCATTCAGACCGATGCTCCTCGACGAAAACAGGCTTAATTTCTCAGCAAATGGGCCTTATCACACTCGACAGTGATTTTTCCTGGCTTCCGTGTGAAATAGTTAAAAAAGCGCAGTATTCAAGTGGAACGAATCGGTAATTGGTCAGACGGTCGAGAGCCCGGTTAACGAGCAAGTAGTACAAATCAACGATAAGTGAACCACGATCGAAAATCTCCAATTTTCCTGCAAATATCGACTGTTCTACGTTCTCTTGGGCCTGTAGTGTCTCGATTCAGCGTGAACGAGTTTTTCAAACGCACAAAGAACGACGGGAAGTATTCAACGCGTGCAAAGTACATGTGTACCTCGTATAGCAGGAAAACCGTAAAGGATTGCGACACGATTTCAACTGACAGTCAGTGTACAATGGAACACGACCAAATTAATTAACAGATGTCGTTCGACAGGCGTTTATTAAAGCAACATAACGAAATTCCTGCGTCCATCGGGCTCCGTTGGGCATTATCGATCGCCATATCATTATGCTCGCCCCTGGGCTTCCCTTTGGCCGATCTTCATCTCTCGTCCCCCCATCCCGCTGTTGCCTTTGTAATTTTAAGGATCGTTAAAATTAACGACGTTTACCGAACAAGAACGA